TGCCGATCTGATGTTTTCCCTGTTTGTATGTGGTGTGTTACACCGCAGCTCAACTCCTCCCCTTACACTAGAGGATAAGGGCTTCAGGGACACAGAATGTGTCTTGTTATTGTTGATCTCCTTAGGGTTCTCAGTTCTGATATTCAAGAAAAAAAGTAAATCAAATAAATCTCTGGTTTTGTTTTGCTTGGGGAGGTGGAAAAGTAGCTCCTTCTGTGTCATTTCTCGAGAGTCCCCACAAGTTGTGATCACCTGTCTCTCTGCAAGGTAAGCCTGGAACTCCATGCATTCCATTCTGGAGCTCGTGTCCTGAGGGTGCGGGAAGTGGTTGCCATGGAGGACGCATCTAGAAAGAAGCCAGCAATCTTGGGTGATGTGAATGGCCACTGTGGAATTCTCTGTCCCGATCAATCAGTTGTGCTGTACTGACGCATTCTAAGAGGGGGTATTGCACTCTCGTCCCCATGGCTCGACGTGTTAGGCTTTTGTTTACAGAAGATTATCAAAAGGAAGCCACCCCTGCAAATACAACTGGAACTGATTATGTGCAGCGTCTGCTTAGAGTTAAACGAAGAAGAATGTAGCTTTCACAATGAAAATCCCATAGATGGTTCTAGACAAGTCTTAAAGGAAAATGTCAGGTTTCCCATAAGTTACAGTCAGTCCTAAGTCCATTAGCTGTTAAGTGCTGTCTGCTCTTTAAGATAGACTGGATGGCCATAGGAGCATGACTAACAGGAAGAAGATTCCCCGATTGCTTCTGTTAATTAGCTCTTGTCCAGCGTAATCTGGTATGCTAAAGTGGTTTAACAGGCCTTCCTGATGACTAACATAAACATCTCTTCTTTGGTCATTTCCCTTCTGTTCCCCTCTGTGGAGAAGAAGAACATGTGGTCGCCATGTGACATTTGAGTTTTGTGTGCAGCTAAACGAATTTGTAAGTTGCTTCCTCTACCCTGGCCTTTGCTCCAGAGCCTATCATATGTTCTTCAGAATGCCAGGATGACGTTCACAATAGGATTGCCATCAGGAGCTGAGGGAGCAGTGTGTGAGAAACAGGAGTCCTTAAGCAGTGCTATACTTTAGAGAGACATTTAAAAGTGTGTGCATATACATGTGAACATAAGTGTACTATGTGCTCATGTATGTAATGTGTGTTTGCATTTGTATGTGTCTTTGGGAGATTAAATTAGGACCTTTGAGTCTTAGTGTTTTAAATTTCACCCCTGTTTTATATAATTTGTTTTAAGTCGGATATTTCTAGTCTGGGGATGAAGTTGGACTTCCTCATGTGGAGAGAAATATTCAGCACAGATGAATAAATCCTGCTCTTACCGTTACTTTAAAACAAACATTGGATTTTGTGATATTTTTATTTGTGAGCTAATTAGAATAAAATGATTTTATTAAAAAATAAAATGAGCTTTCTAATTATCAAGGATTGTTAATATTTAGACTTGATTAAATTGGGTGAAAATTCCCACTAAAAAGTTTATCATTAATATTATTATTATTAAATATTACTATTAGGGTTGATAAAGCATGCCCCGCATATGGAGGCTAGACAACTTATAAGAGTTTTCTCTTTCTACCCTGTGGGTCCTGGATCAAACTCAGGTCATAGAATTTGGCTGCCAACATCTTTATTCATTAAGCCATATTGCCATAACCCTTTTATGTAGCCACAGGAAATGGTCAAATGGCTCTCTGTAAAAATTAAGGTGAGAGATAAAAAAAATCTTAAAAATTGTAATCAGTTGACAAAATTGACAAGTTGTCAGTAGATTCAATGCGATTAACTGGAGGAGAGGTTTCAAGTATTATCTTAATATAAAATTGTACTTCCTTTAAAGAGATTCATTTCTTATGGAAAGGAAAATCCTTTGACAATTAATTTAAATTTGTGAAAATTGCCAAACCTAAAGGTCGATTTGTATTGACTGGTGTATTGACAGTTGGGGAAAAATGAATTTTAATATTATTTTTATTTCTAATAATAATATTTTTATTTATAATAATAATAATAGTAATATTTTGATTTCTTTGTCTATAAAATCAAGCTTTTTGGAGTTATGTCTGCTAATTATAACTGCCAAAGTCTCAACTCAACAATGTCCCTATGACGGAGGTTGAGTGGCCAGCATACTTGAAGGAAATGTGTATTCTACTTCCCTCCTGTTTTGTCTACTTTAACTGCTTACTTGTTTGAAGCCCCAGTCATGATCAGGCACCACTGTTTAAAACAGTTGATAAAGATTTAAGGAGAAATAACAGCCTCCCTGTGCCCATCTGTGCTCTAAGCTGCTAGGGCTCTTGTTCTCTAGACCCCTGACTGGCCACTGCACTGTAGCCCTGGCTACAAGAGGGGCGCGGAGACCTGACATTCATGACAATGCTGGGTAACTAAGAAGGAATTGGAAACTTGAGTTCTCTCCCTTGCTGCTCACCAAGGCACAATGGCTTCCTAAGGTGTGAGTGGAGAAGTGTTGTGTGAGCACTGGTCTGCTTCCTCCCCCTACGGAGGCTGCTTTGGCCATGACCCCTTGTGCTGGCTATGTTCCTGCTTTCACATCCATTTTCCTTCCACTTTGCTGCCTAAGGAGTGCATCACACACACACTAACACAGACAGCACATACACACATGCACGTGCATACACACATAAACATGCAAACACATATGTGCACACACACATACACACACTTTAGCAGGAACATTCTCCCAACCACTGTTTCTAGGAGATTTTATGTAAAACACATTTACAATTACTACACCATAAAATTTAACTTCTACCTGGTATTTCTTGTCCCTGGGTACTAAAAGACAGTATCTTCCTGAGTCCCAATCACAAACAGTTCCTGTCCCAAGCATACTAGTCAGCCTTTGCCAGACGATTTTATTGCTCCAGGCTTATACATTTCAGCAGTCTGCAAAGCAAAGGGAAATTTTAATGCTTAGTGTGGAAAAAAAAAAAAAGTTTGGCTAACTTTAATTAGGACATCTCAGAACTCAGTCGCCCAAAGTTATTTTCCAAATATCCTGTCTGGAATGTGGAGTTATGCAAGCACAGCTCTATTCATAATGTTGTGTCAGAGCCCATCAGACCGTAGCCCATTTACACTGACCCCTCCTGATGCCAGGCCCAAGCAGATCAAGCAGAGAAGGAAGATGGACCCTGCCACTGGCTCTGCAGCACTCGGCCTGAAGGCCTGAAGCTGCCAACCTGTTTTCCCATGGCCTTCCCTGCCCCTCAGCCCTTCTGTTCCTCTTCTCTCCCCTCCTTTTTGTGTTCCTCTCTCATTCTTCCTATGACCTGCCATCACCCCACAGTCTTGTAGAGGAAAGAGGAGCTTCTGTGGTTTATTTGCTGCAGTGTGTGTGCCTCTTTGTGTGTGTGTGTGTGTGTGAGAGAGAGAGAGAGAGAGAGAGAGAGAGAAAGTTAGAGGGAGAGAGAGAGAGGTTAGCATGGGGTTTGGGACCCTATAGGTTCTATGTTGATTACCCACAGTGCTCCTGGTGACACTTGTCCTTGTTACAATGACTGATAATATCAGCTCACAACGTGAGAATTTGGTGTGCTTACTTTTGAGGGTAGGCAAATTGTTTTTCACCCACTCTAAGAAAGGTTCCTTCTTATTTTTGGTCACCTCGGGGTATAGGTACCAGATATGAGCTAACATGCTAAAGGGGCCGCAGTTAGGTGCAGAGATAGCGCCCTGGATACACAAATTGCCCTAAGTGTGAGCAGTGGCGCTCAGAGCTTTAAAAACCATGTGAATGCCAGGTGGGCACAGGAGCCCACAGTAATTGCACAGCTGCAAAGGCCAAGAGCTGAGAGTGTGGGTCCTCAGAGCAAGCTGAGTAGCCAGACTAGACACGTTGAGTTGATGTGCTCGGGGCTAAAGTGAGAGGCCCTGATTTGGTAAACAAAAGCCATTCAAAATAAGTCTCTGGCCTCCATGCACATACATAAACGTGTGTGCACACATTCACAATGTGAATACCACAGCAGCAACAACAACGAAAGCCAAGGGAGAAGCCCAGCCGCAGGTGGCTGTTGGTGCTGTCTTAGTTATGCCTGTGTGCCTGGAACAATCACCATGGTGATTATATAAACGCTCACCTAGGGCCCGGACAGAGGGTTCAGTGGTTAAGGACACGCCTTGCTCTTGCAGAGGACCCAGGTTTTGTTCCCAGCACCCACATGGCAGCTCATAACCTTCTGTAACTCTAGTTCTAGGGGAGCTTACTCCTTTTTGGGTCTCCGTGGACACCAGGCATACATGTCAGGTGCAGACATGCATGCAGGCAAAACACCCGCACACATAAACTAAAAAGTAGATGAAAACAATGAAATAAAGCAAGATTCTGATATTTTGAGGCAGAACTGCCTGTTGATAGTCTGCAGGGCACCATCCTAGGTCTAAGTTACTATCTCCCAGCATGTAGCTCCTGAATATGTACACAGTAGCTACACTAAAGTGACATAATTAGTTCCAGGGGAAATTTTATGGTAGCCCGAGTGGCAATTGCGACATTGAAATAATATTAGTAATTAATCTTAAATATGTATTCCATTTGTAAAAGAAATTTGAAACTATTCGTTCACTTCTTTGATTTTTGAACTGTAACTTGAAGGTTGCCAGCCCTGCTGTTTAAATGGGTCTTTGTAGCAGTCTTCTATAGAAAATAATGTAACCAGAATGGTGATTAACTCTGGAGGCTGAGGAAGGCTGTTGTTACCTAGGATCTGTCCTGAGTTCTGGACTAGCCTGGGACTCAGTCTGAGACTCTGTCTCAGACTCTCTCCTTACCCAACCCTACAAATGAGAATACATGATCAGGTATCATTTAAAATTGTTCTATTTGAATTATCTAATTGTAATAAGGTCTGCTTAATTGCTTTTCTATTGCTGTGATAAGATACCATGACCAAGACAACTTATAGAGGAAAGAGTTTACTTGAGACTTACAGTTTCAGAGGGTGAGTTAATGGCCATCATGGTGGAAAGTATGGCAGCAGGCACAGGTGAGCGCTCACATCTTTCAGCTCAGATACAGGCAGGGAAAGAAACCCTGGGAATAGCTCAATCCTTTTGCCCTCATTGACACACCTCCTTCAACATGCCCACACCTCCTAATCCTTACCAAATGGTCCCTCAGCTCGGGGACCAAGTATGAGGTATAGGAGCCTATGAGGTTCCATTTTCCTTCAAACCACCACGTGGTTCTTTAAAGTACCCTCTTGTAACCAGTGGAAGGCTCTGAGACATCCTTGTTTTAACAGTAGTGTGCTTTAATTGTTTTATATGTATGGTATGCCTAAAATTTTATAACTATTAGGGGTTTTTGTAGTAATTATTCTGACAGTGAAGTTGGTACATGGAGTTCCTGTTGTCATGACTCTCCAGCAGCAGGTTCACTCTGTAAAGTGAAGGTGTGGCTCACCCACAGTGATTGAGCGATCTTACAGTTCTGCAGAGTCCATGCTCTGTGCTTCAGAAAAAAGCAGATCTCCAGCCTTGCTAATGGCCGCCATTCTTAGCTGCCGTGTAGCCTCAGGACTGAATTGACACTTTGGACTGTTTTATATATGACAGTCGTATATGTCCTTGATCTCTGTGTCTGTCTTTTTATGGGTTTCTATATATACGCATATCTGCCCCAACCAAGATGCTAGACACAATCCAGCCTAGACAGTACTTCGTATATGTCTGTACTGTCATATCCTCCACTTCTCTGTCCATCAGTCCATCATTTTCAGTGGTGACCTAATATAAAAATGGCTTTCAGGAAAGTGTCACGATAATAGGTAGTTTTTTTTTTTTTTTAATTTTTCACAATTCTAAGAGGACAGTGATCATATGATCATGTACGTATAAAGACCCCTGGATCAATTTTTCTTCCGTCTGCAGCACTGGTTTCAGAGAAAATTCTTTCTTCATCACAACTAGTTGCCCAAGACACAAGAAGTTTATGGGGCCATGCTATTAGCAAGACAGAAGAAGTTTATGCGGTCATGCTCTTCAGTCTTCATGTGAGACCTGGCTTGCATGCGTGCTGAATCATAGCTTGTAGGGTGATGTAAATTGCAAGGAGAAGTGCTACTGTTTTTGTTTTCTTGAACTCACTTCCTGCATTACAGCCTCCTTTATGTGGTCCAGTCTTTCATCTCAGCTCTTGGGCCAGGGTTTGAATAAGAATTCAGAAAGTGGTTCTAGGATCGATTTTTGTGTTGCCAGATATGCTGATGCAGTGGCATCAAATTAACATTTCCAAAAATGTCACCAAACACCAAGTGAAAACAAAGATGCAAGTGTCCTTCCAGCAGCTGCATGCTCTTCCGGAACCCAGGCGCTTCCTCTCCAGTGCCCACTGTGGGACTACATGCCCCTTTGTCACACAGGGGGATGGAGTCAGCCCGACAGACAGTGCTCAGGAGCAGCTGCTCACACAGATATTAGTTGTCTTTGCAGCCGAGTTAAACAGTTACGGATCATTTGGAGAATGGCCTCCTGGGTCTTATAAGCCAGTTGATGGATAGTTAGAAGACCTGTGTCCAACTGTGGTGCCCACCAGTACGAAATAAATTTCATTTGCTCATTAAATATCTGCTGTTCTCTCACACCAGAGTGAAAGCAGAAACTCTTCCCAATAGGGAATTATGAAAAAGACAGTTTATTCTGGAGCCAAACAGGAGTGGCCATGGCTAAATATCAGTTTGATTTTCCAACATAGTAATAGTTTAGTGAAGCTTTTGTAGTAGCAGAACAACAGCAACAAAAAAAAAAAAAAGCTATAAACCAAGGCACTTTTAATGGTGGAAACAGCAAGTGGGTGGGTTCAGTTAAAGTGGACATGCCCAGCTAGGTATTCATTCTAGGAGTGGAGGTGTGGGTTCCAACCTAAGCAAACTCTTCCCACCCACAGCCATGGCCTGGTCTGGTCTTTGGAGGGATGTCTTTTTCATATCCTGTGTTATATGGATTCTTCATCCTTTTTTCAAGGGAAACACTTTTAGTTTTCTACTGTGTTTCTCATGATAACACTACACATTCTCCTGAGGTGAATGTTTGTAGAGATGGTGTTGTCTGTTTTTTTTGTTTTTTTTTTTTTTTTTGTTTTTGTTTTTGTTTTTTTTAAGACAGGTTTTTGACTCATAGCCCAGGCTGGCCTTGGCCTCTTGCTCCCAAGTGCTGTTGTTATAGGCTTGCACTCCAACCTTTGACTAGTTTTGACCTTTTGCCCCTCCCTTCTTCACAGATATAAATGTTCACTGTACAGATATTTAGTGTGTGTCTCAGGACTTCAAAGTGATTTAAGGCTCAGTTTAGGCATCTAAGCATCTAAGCAGAACCTTATTTACTCTTCCCATTCAACTCAGTCTGCCTGCTCATTTGCAAATTCTGCACTTGGGGACAGGTCCAGAGCCATCTGCAGTCATACCTTGCTTCCACTGTGTCTCTAAGCACATGATGAAGCAAGGCCTCACTCACCTCAGAGCCTCTGCCCCTACTCTCCGAGTCTTAGGATTTCTGTTGCTGTGATGAAACACCATGACCCAAAAGCAAGTTGGGAAGGAAAGCGTTTATTTGGCTCACAATTCCGCGTTGCTGTTCCGTCACTGATAGAAGTCAAGACAGGAACTCAAACAGGACAGGATCCTGGTGGCTGATGCAGAGGTCATGGAAAGGTGCTGCTTACTGGCTTGCTTGACATGGCTTGCTCAACCTGCTCAGGGATGGCACCACCCACCATGGGCTGGGCTCTCCCCTAGTGATCACTAATTGAGAAAATGTCTCACAGCTAGATCTCATGGAGGCATTTCCTCAGTTGAAGCTCCTTCTCTCATCACTCTAGCTTGTGTCAAGTTGACACAAAACTAGCCAGGTCACTCCACATGAACAGAGATAAGCATTGAAACAAACAGTGAAGCACTTGCCTCTGGTCAAGGCTGCAGCTTGAGAAACATTGAAATGGCCAAGGCCGTCTGTGCATGGAATCATTTCCCATGAGCTCACAGTGGAGCAGACGTCCCTGGTGTGTACAGGGTCTGGGAATGAGCTCAGATGTGCTCCGCCTCCCCACAACCCCCAGAGTGGCCCTATGTTTACACTTCTGTGGAAGTAAAGGTCTTCACCTTGTTCAAGAAAGGTCAGCCTGTTTCCAGCCCTCACTACTACCAAGAAGAAAAGAAAAAGTTTTAGGAATAAGGAAATGACAGCGGTTAGACTTACATCCAGGGAACATGATATAGACATTATTAATCTTTCATTGGCTTAGCCTTTAAATTTTATTAAATTATTTGAAGCTACCAAAATCTAAACATCTTTCTTCTCTATAAAAAATGAGTTGTTTGAAATACCAGGACTTAGTGCCCAGCCACCTCTGTATTGCACTGAGGAAATTCTTTCTTCAAGTTCTAGTCTGGTCAGAGCTTGAATTCATTCACCCACCCTCGATCTCATCCCTGCTCATTGGTGGCCAGTCAGCTGTGCTGTCATTGGCAGGAAATTGCTACAAATTGTTGTAGGCAGAACTGGTCTTCATAGCAGGTTCCAGGCTAAAGCACAGCCCAGGATGAACTGAGGAAGGGTTGGGTGGTTGGATGGATGGATGGATGGATGGATGGATGGATGGATGGATGGAAAGAAAAGAAAGAGAAACAAAGGGAGGAAAGAAAAAGGACAGGGCAAAGAAGAGGGACAAGGAAAGGGGAAATAGAGAGTCATAAGCCTTTTCCTGGCTGGAGATTAAAATGATTTTGTGAGTGATTTTCTGAACTGATTATGTGTTAACTGAACTGAATTACCAAAAACATCTTTAAAAAATTAGACATTTTCATGTTAGTCGCATTGCAGACACATTGTCGACAGCGTCTTCCTGGGAGAGCACTGCAGGCGTTTGTGACTTTTCCGCTGTGGCCAAGCTTTGTCTCTCCACGTACAGTACCTGGGATTCAAAGATGTAGACTAAAGACATTGTTCACCCCAAGAGATGGGGAGCTCTTTGAGAACAGAATGCAGATTTAATGGGGTGTTTCACAGCCTTCCTCCTTTCTCCTTATCTATTAAGTTGAGGTTTTGTGTGGTTATGGTCTCATTGGATTGGACCCCTGATGAGGATGGAGAAGATGAACACTTCAATGCTTCCCTGATGTTCTGATCTGAACCTTTTTTTTTTTTTTTTTATTGCTGTTACCTAGGATGGAAAGAAGAAGTTTGACAAAGAGAGTGAAAAATACTATTCTATTCTGGACAAACATTTGAATTTGTCAGCAAAGAAAAAGGAGTCTCATTTGCAAGAGGTAAGCATTAAGTCATGGGAGGCCAAATACCCGGCGTGGACGTGTTCCCACTCCTGTCACTTCTTCTTAAGTGATAGTAGCAATGGATAACACAGTTGGGAAACTTCACGCAGGGCTGTTGGGACTGATGGTTTTGTATATATTGTAAGCATTTCCTTCAAAACCGAGAAAGATTGAAACAAGGTTTCCTTTTCTTTCCTTCTTGAATATATTTTAAAGAGACAGGATTGATCCAGTTCAAATGTTGGTGATGTTGTGTGCTAAGGCTTTGCTCCAGCACTGGGAAGGACAGAGGCAGACACCTGCATGTCCTGAAATCTTAATCACTTTACATCAATCCTTTTAGAGATGTTTACTGCCATATGCCTGCAACCTCCATCTTTCTGTATTCTGAGAAATGCTAGATTTTGTTCTTGCCATTGTTAATGCGGTAACTGGAGGAAGCACAGGCAGGGGCAGCTCTGAAGGACTGGGGCTTTGCAGCATCAGTTTCAGCAAGAAGAATGGCATCTTAGGGCAAGAAAACTGTGAGGCACAGTGCTGACACCCTCAGAACACGTGTCGTAGAGTGTTCCATCAGTGGAGGAGGGGTTTGGGGTCTCCGTCTGCTCAGGACCTCAGTCCGCTTCTGTGGCTGTCTACTGTAGCCCCTGTCTCCCATCTCTGTTTACAGATACCATAGGGGAGACTCTTTTCAGACATGCCCGTCCAGACCCTCTCCCAGGACAGCTGCCTCCCTCTTGAACTGCTTTTCAAGTTCAGCCTGGTGCTCTGCTTCCTCACTCCTCTTAATTCATATTCTTCTAAGTTTAGGCAGAATGTATGCTTGACACTTTGAGGCTTACAAAGTTAGCCATTGTCAACAAAGGTCTAGGAATGTCCTTCTGCTCCTCCTTGCTCACATTCTCTCTGAGGACATCCAGTATCTTCGTTTAAAGATGGTTAGGTCCTGGAGATCTGGCTCAGCAGTTCAGATGCTCCTCACTGAGGACCTGGATTCAGTTCCTGGCACCCATATCAGGCAGCTCACAATTACAGGCAACTCTAGTTCAGGGGATCCGACCCCCTTTTCTGGCCTCCGTGGCCACTGCATGCATGTGGTACACATAAATTCATGCAGGCACACATACATACACAGAAAATTAAAAATACACCAATAATATTAAAAAGATGATTAATATTGGGCAGTTTGTTTCACTTGATTTTCATAGGACTTCATTTCAATCTCTGATTTTTACTGTTCGCGCACTGTAATAAAAGCATATTTTTGTGAGATGCTTGTGCACTTGTGGGAAGCTTGTGGCTGAAGTGACTGGAAGACCACCTGATGTTAAGCAGAATTGGCTCTCTTTTCAAGTTCTTGGCCACGTCTGCCATCATAGAGACTTGGCACTACCTGCTATTTAGGATTCTGTGTGTTTTCCAAATACATTATCCTCCACATTTCTCCTTGTCCATTGCACTAGAATAAACTTTGGAGAGAAATGTTTGTAGTTGGACATAGTCAGATGGCAGAAAGCTTACACAGATTGCCACAGAGCATAGCCTAAAAGTTTAGCATCTCCACACATAATGATCACGAGTGATCATTAGTGAGATGGCACCTACATCCTCTCCAGGAAGAAATAACTGTTCCTGAATTTCAAATTCTTTACAGGATGTTTCCAGTCACCATGACAACTCAGCTCAGTATCAGTACTGCCCTAGCTAGTGGCTCTCAGTACCGTAGGCTTGAGAATAGAAGGGTATTTGTTGGGGCTCTGTATCTAACTGGGGATTGGAAGGGATTACAGTGTTTTCTGTGTCATTCCTTGCTCCAATAAGCAAGCACACACAGGTTACTGTTAATAAGCACTGCCCCTAGCCCAACATGACTGAAGTTGGGTTAAAGTCGGTCTTTAGGGGTGTGTGGTGTAGAGTAGAAAGAGTGTATCAGGTAGCCTTACGGCTGTTCCTCCGGGAACTAGACCTGTTGTAGAGCGAAGTCACCAGTCTGCACTTATTTCTGTGGCATGGCATTAAATGTCACCCGCTACTTTCCAGAGCAGTGTCTGACTTATTAACATGCTCTCAAAAGGCGCCCCTGCCTTTTCATCTACACAACTGCCTCCCTATTCATTTTTTTCTTAGAAAATTAGGGGTTGGCACTGCATGAAAAGGCCAGTTTGTATTGACAGAGTCCAAAGCCACCATCTAAAAAGGCCATGGGAGTAAGTAATGAGAGAATTAGAGCCAATGCCATGAAGACCAGAGGCTTTTCTTTGGCTGGAATAAAAAATAATGCTTGATATGTGAATGAGTAATTCCTTTCCAGGATAAAACAAAAGAGATTGTGAAGAGTAAGCAGAAGAGCAGAAATGCATAAAGATATTTGAAAGCTATCAAACCAAATTAAATGTCGAAGTATTAGAAAGTTTATACAACATAACACCAGCATTTCTAACTCTTGTGTATAAGAAGCATTTGCAAATCAGTGAAAAAAGAGGAAAGGATATAAGAGGGAAATGATCAAAGAAGATGACTTGTAAACTATAATACTATTTTTCGGGTCTCATATGCTGAATAATGCAAACTATTAAGATGTTTTAGGTTTAAGAAGAATCTGTTAGCAAAAACATGAGAATTGTGGAGTGCTTTTCTCTCTTTTTCTTTCTTTAAAACATAACTTCTGCTTCTCATTCTCTCTGATTCTTTGTCTCTCTCTGTCTCTCTTCTCAGCAGGGTCTTGTGTGCTTTCCTGGCAGAATATGCTGTGGCGGCAAGAGCTTTGGATTTCACAGCAATTCTCCAGACTTAGCCAGCTGGGAGTACAGGCATGTACCACACCCAGCTGTGATTTCTGGTTTTGTTTGTTTATTTGTTTGTTTTTTTTTCTCATCCAGCTCTTCTCTTATATCTTCACCAACTCTATATACTCTCCCCCCCCTTTTTTTCCAGTCCACCAGAGGTATTTTCTCCTGGAGGGGGTTGTGCTTCAGCAAGTACTTCCTGAGGCTTCTCCCCCAAACAAGACAGCATAGTGATGTTAAGGAGGACCTAAAGCATCTGCAGAAACATGTCGCTTTCTTACGGAGCTCATCTGTTTCTTTGTTTTATTCCCTTCTGCCTTGTAAGCAACAGGGGACACCTGCTGCTCAGACACCATCATCACTAGTGTTCACTGTTAGTTTTAAAACTGTCCCAGTTTGCCCTACGGCGGTGGTGCAGGTCTGAGAAGAGGTGGGGCTGTCATAGTCTCTAAGTAAGGTCCCCTCTGGTGACCTTTCTTTCAGCTGTGTTGAACTTCTATCGTGTAATAATATGCAAGATCATCTGAAGTAAAAGTTGGCAAAAATATTATTTCTGTTCTACCCCTCAGTCTCCTATGGTGGGCCTTGAGAGGAATGGTAGCGTACACAGCAGCCAGACCTCTAAAGAAATGATCCAGACTCTTATGTCAGGGCTCTCCTAGACGACCACCGGGATGGAGATTGTGCGGCAAAGCTCACGGACACCACATGTTTGTGGCTGTGATTCATGTAGGGATATGACAGAGACAAGGAGTGGGTGGTCTGGAGGAGGCCAGGTGCAGAGGCTTTCACAGGCACGCTGCTTTTCCTCAGTCATCCTTACGAGTGCACATTTGGGATGCCATCTTTCCGAGGCAACTTTCAGACACCAGAGAGATTTCAGTGGAGGGCGCTCACCCAATCAACTGCCCACATCACTCCTACAAGGGAAGGAAGTAGCCTTCATAAGCTGCATTGCTTCCAGGCACAGTTTAGGTACAGTTTACATATATTTGCCATTTTTATCAGCTAATGAGGGCATTACCACACTTGGCGTCACAATCTATACCCCATGAAGCTAAATTCAGTCTCTTGTCCTCAAGAAGCCAATTAAAACAGCCCAGCTGATAGTAAAAGGCAAGACAGGTTAATTTAGTGTGGCCACATTGGGAAGAGGGAAGCCAAGATCTGGTGGACAACCCCCACCAGCTCCATCTTTGGTACTGAAGAGAAATTAAAAGTTAAATACAGGGCCAAGGATATGCACATCTCAGCAGTCCTGGCCAAGGTGTGGGGGACAGGTTTCCCTGACGCGCGAGAGTCCTGGGACATTCCCATCTCCTGGTGCAGTGTTTCAGAAGTCTGGTAGTTGTCTCATCAGGATAGTTTCAGTTATGGCAGGCTGGTTACTATGGGAACCCTCTTAAAGGACATCCCCGGCACTGGCCTAGGGCAGTCTCCTTAGTAGTGAGTAGCAGGCAGGCGTGCAGGACCCACTCTTCTCCTCAGCCTGTGACCAGAAAAAGCCACACTGGACTCTGAAAGTGTCTCTGGTTTCTACTTTCTTCTTACGGGCGAGGCAACACCGTCCATGACGACATCCTGTAGAGAGAAGAAAATCTTTCAATAGAATGCTGCATCTGAAACAGGACGTCATGTCCCGAAGCTTGCTGCAGAGAGGCCATAGTTGCTCTTCTTTCCAACTCCCGCATTCTCGGGGAATGACTTTGTGCTTTGAAAGTGGTCTTTCGGGGACTGTGGATAGCGCAGAAGCCAGTACGTACCACAAATTAGACTTTGTGTCCCGAGAGCCAGCACGTTCTCCTGACTAACTCAATTCACTCTCCTAGGTGATGATGGAATCTCATTTTTTTTTCCCCTGTTGGGGACTAGAATGTTCCTAAATGATTTTCCATAGCCAGAAAAATTTTGGCTTAAATCTACCTAATTTTTAGCATATGTTAGTTTAAACTGTGGGAATCTCAACTTTAGCCCCACGTGAGAAGCTGATGTACAGTTATATTGGCAAATATGTACTAAGTATGTGATCATCTTGAGAGGCTCCAGGTGATGCACTTGTCTCTGTGACGACCAGGGCGGGAAGCACATTCTTGTGCCACCTTTACCTGACTGCAGGACTGTAGTCAATGCCTCCAGAACTGTTCCCAGGTTACCTGTCAGTGGACGCTTGGCTGCAGAGAGCCCATTCTCCTCAGCGGCTTTCCTTAATCTCAGCTGTTGCTGGGGAATGGAGCAAGAAAGGTGGCCCATGTGCTTGTCTAGAACCAGTCATTCTTCAAGCGTGTGTCTGAAAGGAAAGGCAAAAGCCAGAGAAACAATGAAGCTCCCTCACTGGCTCTCTCCCACACTGATGCAGTCTTGCTGTTGGTGCACCTTGATTCACCATGAAACCCTTGGTCAGCTTTTTGTTTGGCTTTGGCTCTGCTTTGATACTGTCTATGCCAGATTTTCCCTAATGGTGTGTTGCCTTCTTCCTTAATACTCTGAAACACTTCTATTAAAATCCAGATTTACTGTGCAGTGTCTGAGAGCTTTCGACCTTACTTCCCCTGTTTTCTCTGCAGCCAGCTCTGGCAAGCTCTTCCACCTCTTATTCTTCATGACACTGACTTCCGCCCACACTTCCTGCTTCCCTTCCTCCCTTCCTAGCCTTCCTCCGCCATCTCCTCTTTTTTTCTTTCTTGTTAATTTTCCAACACACAAAGAAGCAGGTTCCAGTGTGACCTCACACATGCATGTAATCATTCTTTGCTCCACCCACACATACTGCCCTCCTCCAACCCCAACTGCCCCACTGCTGCTCCCCTCTTCCCTCAAACTGTACTTCTGTTTCCTGACACACATATTCCATTACCTTCTCTTGCTCCCCGCTTTTAGAGCTCGTTGTCCCCTTTTAAAGGCTGAATTAATTCAATCATTCACGTTGAATGCCAGTTTCTACCATTTTCTCTCAGAATTTAGTGCCATCTCTGACTCTGTAGATTTTCATATGCATTTGTCTACCTCTTTGGAGAACCTCCCCCCATGTCTTTGCTATAATTTTTAATACAGGTCTTTATTTGTTTGCTATAGGCTTTCAGTTTCATTTGTAAAGGTGTTTTAGCTTGTTGTATCCTACCCTTTGATGTTTATCTCTGTGTGTCTGTATTTATCTTGACTCCACACATGATAAGCTCTAGTGAGTTGGAGCTGCAGAGTTTAGTATTTAATAAGGATGTGTGGGGTTCAGTCTCTCTTGACTCCCTCTGCGTATAGACTTATCAATATGTAACCCCTGTGTCATGCTGCTGGGTTTTCATTTTTTAGGCAGATTCACAGATTTGCCGAGAACATCAGAACTTCTACGAAGCTTCATTAGAATATGTCTTTAAAATCCAGGAGGTTCAAGAGAAAAAGAAGTTTGAGTTTGTGGAACCGGTAAGTTTTAGAATTCGTATGTATAGTTTTTGTATGTATGGCTTCAAAAATGATCTACAAGAAAAATGCTTTAGAGCGAGTTTTTCATTTGAAATTATGATCAATGAAAGTCCAAAGCAGGAAACTGGGGAAGGATGAATACCTTTAGGTCAGTAGATCTCTTTGTGTCATTTTGTAATGGTGAATGATTGAAATGTACCCATAGAATGTGCAATTCAAAGAGTGGGTTTTGGATTCAGTTAATACTGTGTCCACATTGACTCACTGACTGTAATAGCTCTACCACAGGGATACAAGTTATTAACAGTAGAGGCTACTATGTGTGGAACGCAGGATGGGTGATTGAGGGGGTATAGGAGAACCCCCATTTCTCCAGAAAACATAAAACTATGCTACAAATAGTCTATTAACCTAAAACTAAAAAAGAAAGAAAGAAAAATGGTGTGCTCATTACTGAGGCAAAGAAGTTTGATTTGTGAAGTAGATTTGGCTGGGAAATGCCTAGGGCATGAAGGAAGCTCACTTCTGGTTGTATCTGGGAGGGCCTTTAGGAGAGGATTAACTGTGGTTGGGGGAGGGGTGTGTGAGCAGTCCTGAGAGTACATCCAAGGGCTGAATAAAAAGGCTTGAGAAGCTGATTTTGTTTTCTTAGCATTGTTTTAAGGTATGGCCTAAGTAATAACAGTATTTCTCTTTTGAGCATCTTCATCAGGAGGCATCTGAGGTAGGTAAGGTCAGCTCTAGCATCAAGGCAGTCTTCTCATATAGACAGGGCACAGTTCTGGTGAGAGGAGAAGACAGGCTTGCTGGTGCTTGAGGAAGACGAAGAGCTGGGCCCTCCTGTTCTTCCCATGATGGTCTGTGAGAAGCTCATTCAGAAGAAAAGTGAAATACACTGTCCCTGCTTTAGAGAGATGATGATGCTGAAGTGAAGAAAGGGTGACAGCATTTTCAAACACATTTGTCACAATCTTTGTGTGTGTGTGTGGGGGGGGGGACCCCACCTGACACAGACAGAGAGGAAGAAAGGAAGAGCAGAGTCCGGAAGACTATGGGTCCCCTCCTGGGTTCTCAGCTCTGGGGTCCACTGACTCAGTCCTGTAAACAAGGCACTCCTTATGCTCCCCTGAGCTAGGAGGATTAAGGAGCTTTGGGGCCATAACTCAGCTTCAGGGATTTCATTTTTGCTGTTGCTTGGAACAACCAACTTCACTCCGAATTCTGTTTGCTGAAGGGCTAAGTCGCTAAATTCCTTAGGATGAAAAGTAGCTTACCTAACTGACCATTTGGTGATGTGATTAAATGCCCTGACTTTAGGGGAGGACTTGGCCTGTGGGTGAGACCTCAGCCTACAATCCCTATTCTAGGACAAAGGCCTGTGATTCCTGGGCCCCTCTTATTGACAGAGAGCCCTATGATGGGCCTTTTTTCTTTTTTTAAGATTTTGAAAAGCTTTATATATGTGTCTCTGTGTGTATGCTGTGTGTGTGTCAGAGGCCAGAAGGGGGCATTGGATCCCTGACAGCTGGCATTAACAATTTGTTTGCCCCCTGCTGTGGGCACTGAGAACCAAACCTGAGTCCTCTGAAGAACAGGGAGATCTCTTAGCCACTGATCCAGCCTCCCGTGACACACACTGTCGTTTCCTAGGCCACACTTCTTACTTCTCCCCTGGTTGGAGGACTGTAACACCTGCCTCCCAGCGTTTCTATGTTGAGGCTCCTTATACAGCAAAATGGGAGAGTCCATTAATTCAGACACAGTTTCCTGCATATTTCTCCCATACGCGTGTACGCGCCCTTCTGGTGCTGCCCAGTGGTTGAGGAGTGATATTTTCTCATCTGTGTTCCTCCTGGAGAAGGAGGTAGAGCTTGGCTGTTGCCTCATCATGCCTTCATCATGGCTCATTCTGTCTGGAAGCACTCAGCCACACCTCTCTGTGATGTGACGTTAGCTGTATCAAGATTATAAAATCACTTGTTTGCAGAGGGCAGGCAAAAGGTATCATAAGTGTTCTTGAACTGTGGGGAAATGGAAGCTTCCCTTCATTTGAAATGTGTTTGTTTCTTTGCTTTGTTTGTTCCCTTACCTTATTCCAAATTGTGACACCCTACTAAGCCTTTTTTGGCATATTCGTTACTTATGGTGATGGCACCACTCAAAGTGACGTGTGCCCTTCTGAATTGTTTTTTTGGCTGCTGTGTTTTTGCCATTAGCCATCCACTCAAGACAAAAAGTACTGTCCTCCTTCTACCTTCAGGCTCCCATTGCTGGAGTCTTACGTAGTTTCTATTTTAATAACAGGAAGAGCCCGGGCGGGATCAACGAAATGCGAGCCTGAAAGTCGATCGTATACATTTACAAAATAATTCGGAGCAAAAATTTTGGTTTTATCCAGTCCTCTCTATCTGTGAGACAGTTTCGTGTAGCCCAGGCTGGCCTCAACTCTGCAAGATGGCCGTGGGGGCCTGCTCAGCTCTGGGCAGATTATGAAACTAGAAGCCCAGTGGGTGGTACACTTTGAGCCCCCCTTGGAGGGACTGACTCTTCAGGCAGGACCCACACCCCACAGCAGCGCCACCTGCTGGGAACCAGGGGCTGCCCCTGCAAACCCTGGCTCAGTCGCTGAGCTGTGTCTGTCTTTCCGCCCCACACTTATGCTGCCTGGCATTAAACCGGAGTGGAATCAAGATATGTGAGGCCTCTTACTCTGTTTTCATTAAAATCTTTTTGGTTAGCAAGTATCGTTGCCCATTCCATGTGAATTTAGAATCACCGGGTTCTGGAAAGGCGCGAGTTGCGGGTCTGAATTTCACTGTGCCTGTCTATCAGCTTGGAGAGAATTTCATCTTAACAGTTTCAGATTCCTCCAACTGCGAAAGTGAGGTATTTTTCGTTTCTTTGCACCCCTTCTTCAATTTCTTTATGCCGTGTTCATGGTTTTAAGAACGTTTTGAATAAAATTTACTAAATTAATTAATTCTTGAGTATTTTCTTCCTTTAACGTTCTTGAAGATGGGAGTTTTCTTAATTTTATTTCAGGTTTATTATAATGTCTGTCAGTATAAACTACGTTTTTAGACAGTGATCTCACAGAAGTTGTTTACTGGTTCTACTAGAGTTTCTTTTTTTTTTTTTTTTTTTTTTAATGGATTCCTTAAGATTTTATGTACAGAAGTGCAGGCATTTGAAAATAGTTAGTTTTGCTCTTTTCTGTCTGGTCTGGGTGTCTGGAATGTCCTTTTGAACACATGTATTCTGGTGTGGAGTGTCCTCCATGGGCTCCCGTATGTTGTGGAAGTGTCTGGAGCTGGGGTGTGGCTGGAGGATGGGGGGGGGGGCTGTCCGGCTTCCTGCTGCAGCTCCTTCTGCCTCCTATAGGCACGGCACGCCACATGAGTCGTGCGTGTTTGTGTGTGTGTTTTAGTGAATAGCTAATATATATGTAGCATATTCATTTGGCAGTCAGTTAAGTAGAGATAACATGTGGGGAAATTACGGATGTTTCTTGGATTCTAATGATTCTCCACAAACATGATGTCATTAGTGACTTCTGGTTTGGTTTGGGGGCTCCAAACACTATGAGAATAACAACGCATGGTAGAAGATGTTCCTGGTGCTAAAGGAAGGAAGCTGGGGTTAAAGGAACTCACCACCAAGCCTGGTCACCTCAGTTTGCCCAGAACCCACATGGTAGGAGAGAGCTGATTTCTTCCTGAAAGTGGTTCTCTGAGCTGCACATGTGCTCCGTGGTACACTCGCCCACACACATACACATACACACAGAGTAATAAATGTAAAGTGAAATTATATGGCAATTAGTCATTATTACCACTGACGTTTTCGTAAAGGTCACATTTACAAAACATTTACTCTACAGTGATCTTAAACAACCCCCCCCCACACACACACAACACACAAACACAAACGCAACACCCAGGCCAAAGCACTGACCAAAAGCGATGAGAGTCTGGGAAGGGCAGTTCCTCAAAGTTCCGGAATTCCTCAAGCATACAATGAGTATGCCCGGCCCCCCCACCCCCACGCACGCCTTTTTTAAAAAGTTGACTTCTGCTGCCATCTAGGGGCCATTATTGCACACTTTTCTCCTTGAGACAGGGTTTGGAACTCGCTCTGTAGACCATGCTTGGCCTTGAACTCACAAATACACCGGCCCCTGCCTCCCAAGCGCTGGCATTAAAGGTGTGCACAACCACGCGCCAAGCTGCTGCCAAAGAAATGCAGCACAGGGAAAAAAGGTGTCAGCCTTTGGTGTGCCATTAACTATTTTTTTTAAGATTTATTTTATTTTGCGTGTATGAGGTCAGCTTGCATGTATGTGCGTGCGCCACCTATGGACCTAATACCCACGAAGCCCGGGAGAGGGCGTCAGACCCCTGTAAACTGGGCTTAAGCAGGGTTAGGATCTACTATTTGGTTGCAAGAATCCAGGTCCTCTGCAAGAGCAACGAGTGCTCTTGAAAGCCCAGCCATCTCTCCAGCCTCTGGTGTGTAATTTTTATGTACTTCAGGAAAACTGTGCACTCCCTACTGGATGTGTGGAAAGTGAGAGAAATCGGGTGCTCCCTTCTGAGTGGGTCTGCAGCCCCGCCAATGAGGCTGGCAGGTGGGGTTCCGACTGTGCCACAGAAGGGCTGGAATCTTGAGTTCTCAAGCTTAGCTGACAAACAGGGCTCGGAGAGAGTGCTGGCTCACTGTGGTCTCTGTCAGAGTGCTTCCAAACGAGTGACCTGGCAAACACCAGAGCGCTTTTTCCGCGTGGGAAGGGCGCCTCTCAGGCAGTTGTAGGCGCCGTGGAGAGCATCTGGCACTTCCGTGGACACCTAATCTTTCAATACACGAAGGAGTTGTACATCAGAGCCTCTAGCCCGACTCCATGAATCCACACACAGCATTTGGATGTCATCGTATTTCTGACACCGAGTACAACTTAGCCCATTGTGCTAAGCTGTCAGAATATTAGAAAAGTGGATTTGGCGGTATTAGGTGTTTTATAGATGTATTGCAGTGCTTTAAAAATAGTTTCCTGTAAATTTAACTTGGTGGCTTTGAAATAACACTTGCTCTTTATGTCATCTAATTCACAGCAAGACAGTTTCATCGTGGGCTAATTACAGATGCCAACAGAGAACATACTCCTTTAATGACTTCCTATGCTGTCCTATGGCTAGCCAGAGGACTGAGAGTTAGTTATGTATTTCAGAGGTATTTTAATGTTTTTAACCTTTGAAGAAGTCTAGATCTACACTTTCATGGCCTAACTGAGAGTGTTTAAATCTAGGGGTGTTTGTTTGTTTGTTTTGTTTCTTTCAAGACAGGCTTTCTCTGTGTAACAAGCACTGACTGTCCTGGACTTTGTAGACCAGGCTGGCCTCAAACTCACAGAGATCCGCTGCCTGCCTCAGCCTCTCGAGTGCTGGGATCAAAGGTATGTACCAGCATGCCTGGCTTTTAAATCTAGTTTTAAGGTCCGGTTTGCTCTAAACTGGAGATTAAAACTAAATGAAAACAATAACAACTTAAGAAAACATTTTGAAAGTGTCCGACTCCTTGAAATGAACATAACTCCATGTGAAACTGATATCTGTGCTGGAAAGAAAAGCATGAAATCATCATTTTCTCGTAGAACTGGCTCTCAGCCCTTGGCAGTCCCAGCACACGTGAGATGTCCCTTGGTAGGGTGTCCCTGCCTCCCCACACAGGAGATGTGGGAGGAAGCCATTCACATGTGAAAATGGTTTCGAATTGCCTTTCTTTCTTAATTTGAAAAATAAAAATGACATGCTATAAGTCTCTTTTGAAAATATTTTCCATTTTATGGCAGCAAGAGCTGTAGGCTGATTGAGTCAGTGGAATAACCTTTCAGTGAATTATATAAAATATCAAATCAAATTTTTTTCTAGATAATCTTACTATATCAATATACCTGTCCCCTAATTTTATGCTACACCTTTCTTATTTACAGGTACAAGTACTTAGTCATTAAACACAAATAAATTTGTGATAAGGCTAGGAATATGGACTTTCTTCTCTGAAGATTTTTCTCAGGGTAAAAAAGATCATTAGATTCTTAAGCCTTCTCTAGCTGGTACCGGGATCTGTACTGCCACCTTGTGGTAAATTTTCTTATTGCTCGCTGAACAAATTGCTACGGCCTTGGCCAGCTTCTTTCTTCCTGTGATATCCTGCCCCCTCTCTAAATCTAATGCCCTTCATCTTCTGTTTTGGCTAGAGACCCTTCCTAATTATCTGTGATCCCCTTATTGGTCTCTTGTTGTTTTTTAAATAATGCATTTGGAAGGCAGAATACTTCACAGATCACCTGTTCCTGACCACACAGATGAGATGGAAAGGCAATGATCTCTTGTTTCTGTCTCATTCACGTTCCCGTGGCCAAATGCGTCGATCAAAAGTTGTTAATTTGGGAGCTGGAGAGATGGCTCAGAGGTTAAGAGCACTGGCTGTTCTTCCAAAGGTCCTGACTTCAATTCCCAGCAACCATATGGTGGCTCACAACTATCTATAATGAGGTCTGGTGCCTTCTTCTGGCATGCAGGCAGGATAGTGTATAAATAATAAATAAATAAATCTTTAAAAAAATCTTATTTAAAAAGTTGTTGATTTGGGAAACTAGAATTAAATATAATTTTCTTGATATTTTATACTGAATGGTTTTTCATACATATAGAAGCAGATTTTTATGATTTTTTTTTCATGTATGTTTTTATCTTTGCAGCTTTTGTCCTTCCTTCAGGGTTTGTTTACATTTTACCATGAGGGATATGAACTCGCCCAGGAATTTGCACCGTATAAGCAACAGCTGCAGTTCAACTTGCAGAATGTAAGAATGCACCTGTTCTGCCCACCATTCCTTAGCAAAAACCTCCGAGTGGCTCAGTCAGGACCAGCCAGACCTTGTCTAAATATGGCAAACCACAATTGCTCAGAACAGTCCTCCTTCCAGATGTCTTCATGATTTGTTTCCTAGTGACTAGCTGAATGTAGGCCAGAGAAGAACTGATTTTATGTTAGAAAAAAAAAAAAAATGTGCGCTCCCTGTTTTATAGAAGTAAGTTTTACAACATGGAGATCCTTGGAAGTTAAATAGTATTTTTGTTAGCTCAGTGGGTGACACAGGATGAATAGGGTCTGGGACTCTCCCGCCCTCTGTTGAGTGTAGTTAATGCAGTGTTATGTACCTGAAAGTTTTTGTGGATGCTCCTCACCATGCCCAAACAAGAATAGAAAATGCATGTGGCGATGCACACACAACTTGATTGTAGAAATAGCCTCACAATGTATACAGATACCAAAACATCACAGAGACCCACAATGTGTACCTTCTGCCTGTCAGTTACTCCGCAAAGCCAGGAACTAAGGAGGGACTGGCCGGCTTTAGGTGAGTCTTATTTGTTGAGAAAGCAGCATTTCTCCATTTTTTAAGTGAAGGCCTCAAGCTTCACATTCTAAGGCCTCACATCTCTGAAATCACATGTAAAATACCTGCTGTTGATTATTTGCTGATAAGTTAAATGCACTCTTGACGCATTCAAAAGCACTGCTTTCCCATGCAGGGCTGAGTTATTTGCACACTGCCCATTTCTACCCGCTTATTTTGGGGCATCCTCCAGGTCTTTTACTTCTCCCAGCACACATGGATACTTCCACCATCGGCAAGCACATTCCTGCCCTTGTCAAAACCCACGGAAGAACAAAGTGCTGGTGTTGAGTCTTCAGTCACTGAAATCCCAAGTGCATGACACTCTAGCCAAAATAACCTTCACTTAATCTTCCATAAAAGGTGTATGCTTCTCTGCTCATCCAGGTCTTGTCCTCATGGAGTCTAGAGAGCACACTACAGAGCTCCGTGAAGAGCTATGCAACTTGATTTTTCTAATCATGTTTGGTTTTCAGCGTTAACTTAATGAAGTTTCCCTAGCAGGAACAATTTTACCTCTAACTCTTTTGCATTGTTTTTTTTTTTTTTTTCCCCAATGTGGAAGACAGGTGTCTGATTTCAGTAAAAAGTTCAAAAGGAAAATTGCAGACGCCAGAGAGTTTTTACCAGTTGCTTCTGTATTAGCTACAATTGCCGCAGCTGTAACAGGAGAAAGGAAGCACTTGGAAAAAAAAATCAATGCTTATGTTTGAAAGTGAGATGGTCCCCAGAAAAGACCCTGATCTATCTTGAGGTTCACTTCTCTGGCTGTGGACCATAGAGAGGTCTTGAAGGCAAGCTGTGGGTTTTGCTTTTAGACACACTTTGTTAGGATGAAGTATATGTAAAACACATTCTTTCGGAGAAAACATTTATTTTTTCCTACAGCTTAAGCAAACTTATTATCAAGTGTATAAATTATTATTCTCAAAAGAGGAAAGAACTTGGGTTTCATGTGAATAAGTTTTACACCTGCCCCGACCAGCGGAGGTTCAACGGGTTCCTAAGGAGGGGTGAAATGAATGGGGTAGGACAAGAGACACGAAGAATGAAGACCAAGACAGTTCGTCTAATCAAGGTCTTGTTTATTTGAAAATTTTCACACAACTTTATAGGGAGAAGGCAGGAAGGGAAAATGCGTCAGCAAAGTAGTTTATGATACAAAAGATAGCAGGGTGGTTTATGACGCAAAATACCACAAGAATGTTTGCTAAGATACAAGAATGTCAGCTAAGATCTCTCAAGATGCTCTAGCCTGACGAACAGATGTCTCATAAGTTCCTGGAACATAAATCTCTCACCCATAACCTTGTTGCCACTGTTGGCAACTTTGCACTTGCTGGCTTTGGCTCCCAGCATACACCAGTCTTCTAACAACTTGTTAAAAACCAAACCATGTGACCAACCTCAGAAAAGCTTCTCAGAGCCGGGCACGCTGGTGCACACCTTTAGTCCCAGAACTCAGGAGGCAGAGGCAGGTGGATCTCTGCAAGCTTGAGGACAGCCTGGTCTACAAAGCACGTCCAGGACAGCCATAGACTGTGAAGAGAGTCGAGCTGAGATTTTGCAGTAGTCACCTTAATCTACCTATGTGATGCTTTTACTTGTGAGCTCCTTACAGGAAGGTCATTTTATTTAATTATAAAAAATAATAAAAAATACAAACAAAAGCGTTAGGGATAAGAATTTTATTTTAAACTCGTTCATTGTCACATGTATTGAAAACACCGTTTCTTCTTCCTCCAAAGAGATTAAGTTCTTATCTGTCTACCTTTAATATCTGCTAATTCGAGGGTAGCAGATGTTCAATAATTTCAATTGCTGTAGTTCCCCTACTTGGGACTCACCACAACGTATGGAGGTAGAAAGTCTTGTTCACAGGAGAATCAGGGAAGAATGCACAAGGCCATCCAGGGATGTTTCCAGAAAGTGACTCAAAGCGGACACACAGATCAGCCCATCAGAGACCTGCTATGCTGAAAAGAACCAAAAGGGTCAAGCTTACTCCAATATGTTGGGTGGTTTTGAAAGTTGCTCAAAGCTGTCGGGAAATGCAAAGTGAGTTTGTTGTTTCTCTCCACCTAAGACAAGGAATAACTTTGAAAGTACTCGGCAAGAGGTAGAGAGACTGATGCAGAGGATGAAATCGGCCAACCAGGATTACAGGCCTCCCAGCCAGTGGACCATGGAGGGCTATCTTTACGTCCAGGAGAAAAGTGAGTCCCGGAAACTGACTTTCCTTTTTGTTTTCCATGTGTGTGTGGGTCCATGAGTGTGTATGCATGTTTGTATGTGAGTGGACACATATGTGTGGTTGCACACACACATATATGCACTCGGATGATCCAAGCAAGGAACCCCTGACAGCTGTGCCCAGCAGCTTGGGTTATGGTTAATTCCCGATGTAGTCAAGCTGACAAGCAAGAATAGCCATCACCGCCAGCTTGCTGTGGGACACTGCCTTCTGAGGCTAGACCTGGAGGAGGGCTGCCAGATACATTGACATGTCACTTGCATTCTAGAGATCAAAACTCAGGTCTTCATGCGTGCACAGCAAATTCTATACCAACCTCCCCTCCTGCCCTCGCAGCCATTACCCTAGCCCTCCTCTTTAAAAAGTGTGGGTGTACGTGAGCACGCATGTGCGTGCAGGTCAGAAGACAACTAATGGCATGTCCTTCCACCACATTTGTCTCGTTGTTCGAACTCAGGTTGTAAGCCTTGGCGGCAGACGCTTTTACCTGCTGAGCCATGTGGCTGCCCTGGATTCATCATGCCGTGTGCACACACGTGGCTTAGCTGCTTGAATGTTTCACAGAGGAAGACTAAATTCTTTACGGAATTTAAAACAGTCTTCTCTCCACCACTGCCATCACCAAAGCGAGGAACCGTTACTCTAGATTTCAGCATGGGATCTCTGATGATAACAGCGTTGAGTGAGTTTTAGAGTGTAATTGTGACACCCCTCCCAATTTAAAGTTCCATAGAAAATTGAAAATAAAAGCCCTCGTCAGGATGACTCAGCCCGGTGACTATACTAATAGTTTCTCCCTCAGCGGCACACTTCATTAAATTCTGAGCTCTGCTGGTTCTCAGAAGTAAAAGCGGTGATCATGCCATGCCCCACCACTCCCTACTTCCTGAGGTGAGAAAACAAATAGCAGAACCAGCAGAGAACTGTCATAACGGCCTCACGCTCAGCATGATCTCCCCACCAAAAAAACCAACCTAAATCCATCACACACGGGTAACTGGGGTCCCTTCTGTGTGCTGTCAGTAAACGAAACCACTTTGACCGTTTTGACTAAATGGGCTCAGTTTCGAGTCAGATGTGTGCTGAAGTGCTGCTCTCACATTTGTGATGGACAAGCTGCTATTTTCAGCCTCAGGATCCGAACCTGCTTTGGCAAAGTAGAATACTGCATGTTTAGGTTTTACAGCAAGTTACCACCAAAGCTTTGAAATGTTCTGGCCTTTTTTTTTTTTGAGGGAGGAAAGGCTTTATTTGGCTTACTGGCCATCCATGAGACGTCAGGACAGGGACTCAGGACGGAAACCTGGAGGCAGGAACTGAAGCAGAGATAATAGAGGAAAACTGCTTCCTGGCTGGCTTTCCATGCATTGTTTGTTTATCCCTCATATAGAGCTAAGGCCCACCCGCCAAGTGATGGCACCACTCAGAGTGGACTGGGCTCTCCCACATCAGTCACCATCAAGAAAATACCTTACACATATGCCCACACACCAACCGGACAAAGGCAATGCCTAAAGAGACATTCTCTTTTCCAATGCAGGTCCAGGTTTGTGTCAAGTACACAAAGCTATGACATCCTACGTTTGTCAACTTTGAGACTCAAACACATCACTTTAGCCATATCCTGTTCATTTCTTGTCCTACCCATTGTGACTGTGAGGTACTCAGAGGAGCTTGTTCCAAAGTCTCCATGCTAATGGTGGGAAAACATTGGCTTAGTTGGCAAAGTAATGTAGTTGCGAAGGGTTTGTGATGGAGAAGCCAGAGTTGTAGTGTTGACTGTGAAGGTATTTGATGCACATTTGTAACACGGTCACTAGAAGGCTGATGAAGCTTGCATCGGAGACACTCAGGTTGTGCGCCATCATTGAATAGTGCCATGCAAGCATGTACCAACTTGATTGACAGATTTGGCAAACGTGCGTTACAGCACAGTCTAGATAGATAAGGGACCGAGGCTGATGAGGGGCTAAGACTGTCCGTCTCATTAATGTCTGCTCTTGTCAGATCTGAGGTGATGAATCCTGATTACTTTCTGGCTATTTTACAATTAGAGCAGAAGAAATAGCTTTGAGCCTCCAGTTCATAGATTGGTCTGCTGGGTCAGACAATATGAGGTATAGATTTGGCTTAAGACATAACACTCGGGATATTTACTTTAAGTGTCTCAGATTCGAAGTGTCAGCATGTATGTTGGTTGAGAGGAGTTTACATTTGTATTGAGTAGGGTTTAACCAAAGGTGAGGGTTTGTGACATTGAGCAGCGAGCGCTTTGTAGAAATGGACGGAGGCAGGAGGGGTTTGCAGACCATAACTAAGGATTGTTATGCATTCTGGCCTGATTTTCTGTCTCAGGTTTTCTCCATGGATAATAGACAGTTGCTCATATCCTTGCACACATGCCATTTCTTTGCCTTCCTAGTTAAATTTCCATACACTACATTTTGATCATATTTTCCCCTTTCCCAACACTCATGCTAGTCCTCCTCACTTCCCTCCCCACACACTCACAATCTTCATGTTCCATCCCTGTTGCTCGTTCCCAAAACAAAAACAAAACAAAACAAAAATCGAAAGTCAAGACAAATTTGTTTCAACTTGGTAATATTTTGGTCCCATTTTTCATTCTAAACAGAAACAGTTTTGGATTACCCACCAGAAATATCTTGACTCTAATCTTCACATCTTTGTTACTCAGTTACTATGTAGTAGTCCATTCACTGAATGGGGCCATGGCTTGCTGACACCTCTCTGGACAGTGTGACGTAGGGTTGAGGACTACCTGGGATGGACCTAGTGAGAACTTGATGTATGCATCTGAGATTCGTACCTTATTGTAAGACATCTGACTGTAAGTCATCCTGAACCCCTGTGGTGCTAACCTTAGCTGAGGATATTTCATTTATTTTAATGGAATTCTTCTAGGCTATAAAACTCCAAGCAATCTTTAGTTCTCTGATCTCTGTCTGAATCATGGAATCTAATCGGTCTGCTATGTGTTCCTGAGACCATTTGACTCACGTCTCTCCATTATCTCCATCATTTCAGTCCAGGCTAGTCTTGTACAGAGGCCTCTCCTCTGCCTTCAGGCTTTCCCTTCATTTATCCCTGCTGCAAGGCTCCCTGAAGGTCCCCCCTGGTTGCTGCCATGTTTATGCCCTTGTTGTGAGGGAGCTTGGGTTATATCTGGCGCTGGAGACCTTCACAGGCAGGATAACTCCTTTCTTTTTTGTGAACCCTTCTCTGATTCTGCTTTTATGTCCCCAAACAATTTTCTCCTTGGGGTTTCTCTGGGTCTGCTTGCATCATGTATACAGCTACACTGGCTGTATTTTGCCAACAGGATCTTGTATTAACTGATGTTTTCATGTGCGTGTACACCTCTGTAGCCATCACTGCAGTCTGTAATGATAAGATAGGGTAGAGGCAGTCCCTGGCTCCTGGATATGGAGCTGCTGACATAGTCCACCTTGGGCGGCACTACGTCTCACCTGACAGTCTTTGGTTAACCTGGGAGGCACATGAGTTACATAGTCAGAAATCTATTGGAGCTCCTCGTCTGCCATGTACCTTTTGGATTCTGTTTAGGTTTTCAAATAGGGTCTCATGTCTCCTCCAGATTGTCCTTGAACTCACTATGGATCGGGGGATGGCCTTGGACTTGCTGCCCCCCCCCCTTCTGTAATGTGACTTTTAAAACCATTCCACTACTCCCAGTGAATCAGAGCTAGGGGTTGAACCCAAGACTTTGTGAATGGTTAGGCAAGCATGTTACAAATTTCTGCATCTCCAGCTCTCTCTCACTTACCATGTTGCTGTTGTATATAATTTTCTGAATCCAGACTATTTATTCATGAAAGAAAAATGTATATATCTCTCTTATTGAGGATCCAAGAATTAACAACAATATGTATCAAAGTATCTCAGTTTCCAGTGATGTTCTTAACATGACTATTCTTCTCATGAATACTTGCTAGTCTGTGCAGGATAGGTTTATTTTACCTAGTCCCTAAAACAATTTAGAGCCTGTCACGTCAGCCACTTCCATGTAGAGACATTCTCTACCCAGGATACCCAGTGACCACAGCTGTCCGGGACTCAGGTAGGCAATGAATGGTGTTATCCTTCTCGTCCTCCATTATGACTTCTGGCTTCTCACTCTCGGCCCAATAAAAAGCTTCTTGTAGGTGTTTCTTCTCCACCCAACTTCATTCACTGTAGAGTCCGACTCCTGGTTCAGAGGCATGGTTCCCTAGTCCTTGCCTCTAAGATAATTCATGACCTTCCTGCAGCCTTCATGCAGGATCCCCTTCTTCTACCACACCTCTAGCTCCCAGGGAACTCTAGATGTGAACAAGATCCATTTAGGTCTTTCCTGAAGACCCGTTCAGCTTTTTCTCCTAATGCATCTCTATTCCTCTCTAGAAACACCCCAAACAAGGAACCCACAACAATTACAATTTCCTAAGATCTAGTAAGTGAAACATAATTTAACCAAATTTAAGCAATATCTATCTATAAGTTCACTACTAAGAAGGCACTGGAAGAAAAACTCCAGATTAAAGAGTTTAACCACATTAAAAAAAAAAAGAAAAGAAAGAAAAAAAGACAAGACATAATTCTAGACCAGCAAATCAAAAGAGGGGAAACACACACACATACACACACACACACACACACACCACTATCATCACCGTCACAACAACAACAACAACAAAATAACAGGAATCAACAAACAATGCTCATTGATATTTCTTAACAACAATGATCTCAGTTCCCCAATAAAAAGCCAGTGGCTAACAGAATGGATGCAAAAACAGAATCCATCCTGTAGCATCCAAGAAACACATCTTACCTGCAAGAATAGATATTATTTCAGGGTAAAATGATGAAAGGGGATATTTCAAGTGAATAGACCAAAGAAGCAAGCAGATATAGCCGTATTATTAGCTGACAAAATAGACTTCAAACCGAGACTTATCATAAGGGATAACAAGGACACTACATACTCATAAACAAAAAAAAATCTACCAAGAGGCCATCACACTACTGAACATTTTTATATGTCAGATGTAAGGGTGCTCAAGTTCATAAAATAAACAGACACCATTACAGCTAAAATCACTTATTGGCCCTCATACAATGATAGTGGGAGACTTCAATACCCCACTCTCACCACCAGAAAAGTCATCCAGACAAAAACTAAACAGAGAAGCACTACAGCAAAATGACACCATAAGTCAAATAGACCTAGTAGATATTTATAGAACGTTTCACTCAAACAAAAAAGAATATACTTTCCAGAACCTCATGGAACTTTCCCCAAAACTGACCACATAATTGGACATGAAGCAAGTCTCAAAAGATCCATGAAAACAGAAATAACTCCTTGCATTTTATCTGACCACCATGGATTAAAACTGGATAGCAACAAAAGCAGAAACAACAGAAAGTATGCGAACTAGAACAGCATGGAAACTGAACAACTCACTACTGAATTAAAAAAAAAATTCATCAAGGCATAAAATTAATAAGAAAATTTACAACTTTTTAGAATATAATGAAAATGAAAACATAACATACCAAAAGATATGGGACACAATGAAGGCAATTCTAAGATGCAAGTTTATACTTCTAAGTGCCTACATAAAATAATTGGAGAGATCTCATATTAGCAATTTAATAGCACACCTGAAAGATGGAGAACAAAATGAAGAAATAGTACCCAAAATCAGTAGATGGCAAGAATAATTGTATTCATGCCTGGAATCAATAAAATAGAAACAGATACAAAGAATCAATAAAACAAGCAGTTGGTTCTTTGAAAAAAATTTCTAATATTAGTAAACCCTTAGCCAAATTAAATAAAAGACACAGGGAGAAGATCCAAATTAATAACATCAGAAATGAAAGGGGGGCGTGTATGTGTGTGTTTCTGTGTATGTCTATATTCCTTGTGTCCTTTCTTCATTTATCTTTTGTTGTTGTGAATTTGTCGTTTCATTCTTGTTTGTTTTAACCATGTGTTTGTTTTTTTAAAGAAGGCATGAGGTTGGCATGGTGAGAGGTGGGGGCGATCTGGGATGATGTGAGGGAAGAAAAGCCGTAGTCAGAATATACTGTAGAAAAATAACCCTTTTTGAAAAATAAAATAATGAAAGCCAAGTTAGAGTATCATTCCTTTAAAAAGAACACCTCACGCCTGTGCACAGCGGGCAGGTTTGCTTCTCTTGGGTGTGTGATGCTCTTTAATGAAGTCTACCTTGGAGGTTCTGAGGTTAAAGGGTTGTAGTAGGTGTTTGTGAATGTGACCCTCACCCCCACCGCCTCATCTCTGTCACCGCTTTCTGTGCTCCCTGGGCAGGATGACTGGGATTCTTTGGGTTTGCAGCTTTGGAGTTGTAATAAAATTTTCAGACGCTTTGTTAAGGGGCTTCAAGTGACTTGTTTAAGACCATCTCCCACACAGCTGCCAGCCAGCCTTAGAGCAAGCAGCACGGTGGACAGCAAGTGTCACCATGAAGTGCATGCAGGAGGCTTCAAACTTAAGATAAGGCAGGGGGAAAAATAGACATTTAGGGTCTAAAATGTCATCAGAGAATGGGGGTGCTTGGTTTAAAACGAACAGCTGATCCTACCGAATACATCACTAAGGAACAAAGTCCGAGTGCACCAGCCATGTCCCACTCAGCAGCCCTCAGCTGTTAAGTATTCTACGTGGCATGTCACAGAGTATCGAGTGCTGTCAATACTGTGGTGTGCAGTGGCCCCAGAACAGAACTGGAGTTAATTGCTGTAATCCCTTGTGATTGTGAAGCATGCATGTTCCCTGTCATTTTCAAATCTGGAGTAGCTTAAGTATTAACCGATGTGAAAGCTGGCACCAAGGACACTATTATTAACAAAAAAAAAAAAGAAACCCAGTGGCTCATGAAACTGCCTCTCAAAGGGCGCTTTTTTGTATTCTAATTGCTTGCTTTTGAGAGCAGGGTTCTGAAATCAAGCCAGCAGTCACATTAAGCATAGAGGTGACTAAGGAAATCTGTTTGAGTGGGTGGTGTGGCAGCTGAAGACGCTCAGAGGAAGGGAGCCCAAAGCTCTGTTTCCAGTGCACAAGGTCCATCATGGCATTTAGATTCAGGACACTCACTTCTCCGGGTAAAGGCAAGCTCTTGTGCTCTGTCAAGGAAAAGCAGAATGAAGGATACACCCCACTGTAGACACAGGAGTGTCTGGTTCTTCAGGAGCAGTGCCAACCCATGACATGGTGTGCCCGCGCTGTGAGAAAGAGGGTAGTGTTTGTGGGGGAAGCAAAAGTGAGCATTACTAACACACACATTCCTTTTCATATAATTACATAAATACTATAAATGGGGAAGTATTATTTTAATAACATTTGTTTTTAAAAAGACAAGGTCTCCTGTATCCCAGGTGCGCTTGGCCGTGCTGTGTAGCTAACAACGACCTTGTACTTCTCCTCTTACCTCTGCCTCTTAAGTGCAGTTTCATCCCTGAAGCCTCATGTCTGCTCTAGTGAGTGTGGGAGAGCATGCAACCCTTTGAGCTCTGTCCAGCCTCAGACTTATTTCTCAAGAAAGTCAGAGATGATTATCCACTCATAACTCACTTGTCAGGTGCTTCCTGAGTGACAATATACATCTGGGCGCTTTCTAAGAATTAACAAATTTTCTAATCAGCTGCCAGGAATGGTGACGCACTCCTGTAATCCCAGCCCCTGGGAGCTGAAGGCAGGATTATCAGGAGCTCAAGGCTAGCTTTGGCTACCATTGTAAGTTTGAGGATAATCAAAGCAAGACACCCATCTCTAAAATTACAGTAATGTTTGTCCACTGTTGGTGCGATTGGTTTTTCAAACATCTTCTGTCCATATCTGGACCTGCTGACCAGATTCCATGCTTATAGATAAGATTAAGATAGCTGACGCTTACATGTGGGCTCGCTCACGGGTTTCCAGGTCCTCTGAGGGAGGGTTATTAAAGCCATTTGAATCCACGATGCTGTCCCCAGGCACCTTTGCTCAGACTGGCCGTCCTCACGTGAATATTCCAGTGACAGCATGTGTGGACACTCTCCATGTGTAAGAGAGTCCATGCGCACACGTAGAGACAAACCGTCTGTCCAAATCTGAAGTGGTTTTTTTTTTGTTGGTCTACTGCTTTAGGACCACTGGGTTTCACGTGG